ACAGGTCTGGTACCAGGTACAAGATCAATAGCAAATTCAACTTCCCTCTCCGGTGGTACATCAGGAATCTCATCAGGGAAAACTTTAGGAAATTCACACACCACCGGCAATTCCTCAATTATAGCTTGAGTATCTACAGATAGCGATGCCATCAACGAGAACATCTGTACTTCTTCTTGCATTAACTTCCTTAACTGTCTAGCAGATAACAGACAATCTTCCTCTGCTTCAGGAGTAGAAAACTTCACCGACTTGTCATAACAGTTAATATGAACACAATTATGCTCTAAGAAGTTCATACCCAAAATCACATCTAAACCTCTTAAAGGTAAACAAACTAAATCAACAATAAAGTCTCTATCAAAGATCGACAAAGGACACTTTAAACACACAAAAGAAGCAGGCACCGACCCCTTGGATGGAGTATCGACGACCATTTCCCCATTCAAAGAAGACAACATAAGACCAAATCTTTCAACATAATCAGCAACAATAAAATAATGCGTAGCATCAGTATCAGTAATAGTAATTAAAGGAGTACTATTAATGAAACATATACCTCTGATAAGTCTGTCCTCAACAGCTGTCTAATCCTCCACCAAAGCAAACACTTTACCACTTGACTGAGCCCTCTTCGGTTTTGGACACTGACTACCAATGTGCCCTTCTTCTCTACAATTGAAACAAATCACATCCTTATGTTCACACTCAGACACAACATGTCCGTTCTTACCACAACGGAAACACCTCTTCACTTCAGTAGTACACACATTACTCTTGTGCCCTGATTTTCCATACTTAAAGTAAACCACACCAGCAGGAGCATCTCCCCCACTAGTTCTCTGTCCCTGAGCAACTTTCTGTTTACCTTTACCAGCTGGGGCATCATAAGGCTTACCACGATTTTGTTGGTGCTTACCCCTCTTCTCACTGATAATCTTGTAATGAGCATTATTATCCTCCTCATAAATCCTGCAACTATCAACCAAATCAGCAAAGACACGGATCTTCTAGTATCCAACTTCCTTCTTGATCTCCGGGCGCAACCCGTTCTCAAACTTGATACACTTCAAAAACTCAACATCTACCTCAGCGTAATGCGGATAAAACTTTGCCAACTCAGCAAACTTGGCAGCATACTCAACAAATGACATATTCCCTTGCTTCAGCTCAAGGAACTCAAATTAACAATACTCGATTGTTAGACAACTACGACTCGACGAAAAGGTCGGACCAACCTTTTACTCTGATACCAACTTTGTAACACCTCAATTCTACCCCGACAAATTATATAAATAAGTCAGAGTTATAAAAATCATTCATGCAAATGAATCGGGATGCCACAAATTCTTCTATCAAAATTCATTGCATTCATCATGGATATATAACACTTTTAAAACATCGGATGAACCATCATCATAACATCTTTAGTTAAATAATTCAACATCTACGAAGCGAAAATTCTTAATAACATCTCTATCATCATAACAACAACTTCAAACTAACAAATACTTAATAATAATCAACTTAAAGTTCAACGACGGAATAATCATCAATCAAAAGCAAAAAGCGTTCACCCCCCGAGTGTTACATATCAGAGCAATGACACCTACTCGAACTACTAAAGGTATACAACCTTCACTCTCGATTACCTGCACGTTACCAACATAAGGGCAACATTCAAATAGAAGGGGTGAGATATCTAACAATATAATAAAGCGCATGATAATTAATATATTATATTAGATCACATAACATCACCACTTCTCATCTCATAATCAACAATAATAATACACATTCAGCACATAAATACACACTTCTTTATACAATCATATAATGCGACTCGATACTATGCAAATGCATGTGGTACCATTTGGAGCATAACTCTCATCTAAAATTTTTTCCAATTAATAGAGGCGTCAATAAAGCATAAGCCTTCATCTCAAAATTCACCAATTCAGGCCATCTCAACAAGCATAAGATCCATCTCAAAATGCAATGTATGCGATACAATCATGAATGTAATAACAACACCATAATTAACAACATCTCAATACAACATCATCGTTGGCCAAAGGCCTACATCTCAAAAGCATCTCAACATCTCTTCATCAACATCTCATATCATCATAATAATTCATCAAACATCATTTATTTATCATGAATTATCAACACAACATTATTAATAACATCTCATCAACAACTCAGCTGTACGCTGATACAACAATAATTCACACCGCTATTCTGTAATCTTACATCATTACTATCATTACTCCTACTGTTACGAATCAAACAACAACCTATAAACATTTCATCCTCATAATTCTGCATAAAACCAACATAACGATCAACACGGGAACTAACTCTAAATCCCAAATTGGCTACTAGGATTACACTTCCTATTTTTCATTTTAATCCTCTAGAATAAAGTTCATCACGTTAACTATTCAACGCTTCGAACATCATCTCAAACGGCATCCTAAAACTCAAGTTACAGCATTTATAAACTGAATCTGCCAAAAACCAAACAATATGGATTGATGCAAAACATCTTGGATCGACGCGTACTACACTGAACTTGCAACATGAGTAGACACATCCTTTCTTGGGCTGACTCATCTTGAGTCTAATACACAACATGTATCGACACATGCACCTACGGATCGACTCATCCTGAGTCTAAAAGCACTCATGTATCGATGCAAAACCTCTTCGTGTCGACTCATACTGAGTCTCAAAACCTTCTTGTATCGACACATAGCATTTGGGGTCGACACATCCTGTTACATCCTGCATAAATTCTTTGAATTTATCTGCGTTTTCACTATGGGTTTCATATTTTAAGCCCTAAAAACTTAATCTAATCATAGATAATCATCACTTACAATTACCCTATAATTCTACATCAATTAAAACGCATCGGAACATCAATATTCATCCATAATTCATCAATTCTTCATCATACGACATCATATACATTCAATTCAAGAACAAGACAACAATCACCTCTAACCCCACATACCAATCATCATGAACCCAATTATAGAGTCAGAACCACACCCTTACCTTGGATTGAAGGTCGCTCTATAATCTTCCGGTCGAATTCCCGTTTTGCCGTTCTATCCTCTTTTTCCAGCAGCTTCACGTTCTTCTTCTTAATCCTTATTCTTCTACTGCCTCTTCTTTCTATTCCTTCTAACAACAATAAAATAACCTATTATTCTCTTTATTCCTTATTGGGCTCAAAACTAATACATCCCCTTATTACTTCTATTCCTTAAAAACAAGCCCACATCAATAATATTATACTTCTAATATTATTTCACCACTTAATAAAATACTTAAATCCAATTAATCACAACACATCTTCACAAATATTCCAAAAATAATTTAATTAAATAATTAATTAAATTACGGGCGTTACAACGACTCTCTTTTTGTTTGCCGGTTATTACACTAAGCGATAGATGTAGGTGAAGAACCATTAAAGTGTATGTGTATGGTAACGCTGGTCTAATCACATGGGATAATGGTTAGCTATCTAACGTTCTGATTAGGCTATGCGCTGTCTTTATTAAGGTTAAGTTTAAATTGAAAGATACTTAATTGTATTAACATTCTCTGTTTCTCTTTTTTTTTTTGAATTGATCTTGTCATTATTAGAACAAGTGGAAGATTATTGTAATTAATACTTAGTAATCAACATGGATGTGTTCCAAAATGACAAGAAAATATGCAAGTGAAGATTATTTTTTGAAATCATAAATAGGAAACATTTGTGAAATGTTGTAGTAGGTTGTTTGACTTTTGATTTTGAAAACAGAAAATGGTTTGTGAACCGTTGTAGTTGGCTGTTTGAATCGAAAATAGGCAACGCTTTATGAATGCAGTCAGAATAGGAAATGCTCCAGAACTATTTTTGTAAGCGGAATAATGCAACATTTGATAAAACCGTTGTTGTAGACGAAATAGTGCAACAATTTATAAAACTGATGTTTTAGGCGAAACAGTATAACATTTGACAAAAGTATTACTGAAAGTGTGTGTTCCATTAAGGGTCGCAATCTTGTGAAACATCTCTACTTTGGCCTGTAAATTGAGCATTTTAAATTTAGAAAATCATCACAAAAAACATATATCCTCTTTACTAAAATTTCAGACACTCTTCGCTACTTTTAAATTTTTGTCGCTCTTGTGCAAATTTAATTAAGGTTGAATTATTATAGATGTTCATGCATTCTAACTCTAAGACATATTAAGAATGCTTGAAATACTTTTAAAAAAATGATTCCGTTCACGATTCTAATCTCGATACATTTATTTTAAATTAATTTTCTAACACTCACGACAGTCCAATAAAATTGTTATGCATAATATTGATATATTATTAGAATAAATTGTATTATTTTATTTTTTTTAATGTATTTTTAAATTTTAGATGACCCGGTGCATAAGAATAGGACACCTCATTTATATCAATAAAACAAAATATGCGTCTATTTTACCAAGTTGTATTTTAATAGTATAAATGGTAGGTCACGCATGTCACATCAGCATACTAAATTCAAATACTATGATTGAAAAATAAATATTAATACTATTTTAATCTATAATAATCTACTTAATCAACGACCAAACTGTTAATGAATTTAAATTACGGAAAATTATAAATTATAACTAAAACAAGTTATAGGTTATTTTTAATTTATTTTCAACTGTGAAAAGAGATTCAAAATCTGACCAACATAGTTATATATTTCAATATATTAAATTGTTGAACAAATAACACGTGAAATAACGCATAAGAATCGTAAATCAATATAAATAATTACAAAGGAATAACCCCACGTGCTTCCTTCACGGATGTCCAGTTTTGAACAAAATAGTTCTATAAACAAACAAACAAGCTGTTGCTATATATAAATAGTAACAGATTGAAGTGTATCATTCCAACTTTTAGTAGTGCATGTGCTTCCACAATTACTTTGAGAATCCCAAACATGTTGTTTTCTACCGCCAAAGATTCAGAGTTTCCATATTTAGAACACGTTCAACAATACCTTCTTCGTCATGACTCAAACATCCTCAGTATTCAAAGCCCAACTAATAATTCTAACACAACTGCATCTCCACGTGAAGTGCACGCACCTCCCACGTGGAAGCACTACCGGGGTGTGAGGCGTAGGCCGTGGGGAAAGTTTGCGGCAGAGATCAGAGATCCGAAGAAGAAAGGTGCTAGGGTTTGGCTTGGAACTTATTTAACCGAAGAAGAAGCTGGTATGGCTTATGATAAAGCTGCTTTTAAGATGCGTGGCCGAAAGGCCAAGGTCAATTTTCCCCATCTTATTGGCTCTGACGTGTACACGCCAGAGCCAAAAAGAGAGACGACTTTGAAACAAGAATCGACTGAAATTTCTTCTTCATCGGATTATAGCTGTGAGTCATTATCACAAGGTTCAAAGAGGAAGAGGAGCATGGCTAATCTACTTAACAAATTAGCCAAGAATAGAAGCCAAGCTATGGTGGTTGAAAGTGAAATGGCCTCACAAGAAAATGCTGTCGAACAATGGTTGAATGAGTTGAGTGATTGCTCTCTAATGTGGTGCTTCTAGTAGTGTTTGTTTATTTTGATTTTTCCCTTTCTGAATATCTTAAGGTTTGGTTTTTGCTGTGAATTCAGCTGCTCCTAATAAGTTTAACATAGTTTTTGCATTGCCTTGATGAAATTCAATGGGTGATGTTTATGTAAAATTACAACTATGTTGTAATATTACCTTGTGATAATGTTAAATAGAAAAGTATGTTTAATAATTCACAATTTCAATTTATCCTACTTTTAGTTTGTTGATTTATTTTGTTATAAAGCGGTGGTCTTTGTGGGTTTTTTTTTTATAATGTTCTTCTGAGCTCTAATCGATTGTCTGATGAATGGTGCTTTGTGGTTTGTGTGTCTTGTAAGAATTTTGCTTTTTTATTTTTTATTTTTATAATGTTCTTCTATCCTTGTTTTATGATGTTGTTTTGCCTTCTTTTTTTTAAATTTCTATTATTATTATTTTATTCGACATTCCTTGTGTTCTTCTATCCTTGTTTTATGATGTTGTTTTGCCTTCTTTTTTTTTTTTAATTTCTATTATTATTTTTTTATTCGACATTCCTTGTGTTCTTCTATCCTTGTTTTATGATGTTTTTCTATCCTTGTTTTATAATATTTGTTTTGATAGAATTTTGGCATTATATACTCCTCCTTTTTATATAAAAACATTTATTGTATTTTTTATTTTTATTAAAGATTCACTAATGTTTTTTTAGTCATATTTTATACTTTAATCAGAATTAAGTGTAAGTTGGTGCTGCAGAATTTTGAAGTGGTGGTGCTCATATTCGATATGACGACGTATGAGAGATTTGTAAGGTTAACATTTTAAGCTTAAATCAGTTTATAATTAATAATGAGTGTAGTGAAAAATGAAGATCTGAAAGTGTATCTTGCGTTTTGCGTGAGATGATTTTATATGTAATATCCTAAACTCCGCACTAAAATATTGCATAATGTAATTATAAATACAACCAAGTAGGGTGTCACATACATAAAAAAAACACATCCTGCTCTGTAACACGAGTTTCAACATAATAGTTTCATTGTAAGAGAGTACCGATCGACTTGTTTGAAACATATCTTGAGCTCCGTAAATCCGTTTGAGACCCTGTCAGTTGCGTTAGAAAGGTAACACAATAATATTTACTCCTAAGTGGATAAATTGTGTCTAGGAGAGCTACAACAATAGCCGTTTTTCTGGTTTCTATACCATAAATGTTGGCGATTTCGGTCATGCGTTAGTTAGCTTATTTAAAGTGTAATTGGAGTCTTGTGAGTTGGTTTGGGGTGGGGTTAGTTACATTGGAAAGACGGTTCAATGATCTTTTCAACTGGAAAATTTCATAATTTTCTCATAAATATATAATTTTTTGGCGTCATTTTGAAGTCAGGCAAAATATTCTCCCAATACGTGTACCCGTTCTTGTTATTTGATTAAACTAAATCGATTGGTGTATTATATCCTGAAATAAAAGTCATATTCTTAAAGTAGTATCTCTAAGCTTTTCGAAACATATTCATTTGCTAGATTCTGACTCTGTTTGATATTTTAAATAATTATTTAAGTATGATTGTGTTAATTGTCTAAGTGGTGATGTCGATATGCTACCGTATGAGTATGAATTGATGTATTATACACAATGAGTGTAATTGATATATTGTTGTGTGTTGTTGAGTTAAAGGTGAGTTGCATGTATGTGAATTAATAATTTCATTATTTGAATTATTATATGTGTTTGAAATGTGTTATTATGCCGAGTATGATGATCAATGTTGTTATTGGATATCGTTATGATAATGTTATTAAGGTGTTTGTGATGTTATTGTGATGTTGATATGGTGTGAACATGATTATTAAGTTGTGAGTATTATGTGTTGTTTATAAAACATGTTGGTGGATGTATTTGTGCATATTATTGATGCTTGTGGATAATTATGTGGAAACACATAATCGTTGTTGTTTATGTTTCGAAGGTGAAATGTAAACATGAATTGTTGGTGTTGGTGCGTTGTTGCATCAATTATATGTCATGCATCATTAGTGTCATTGGTGTGAAAGAAGCAAGTGCAAGTCTAGAAGGATGGGCTGGTAACTTGTCCCGAACTTAGAAGAGTGGGTTCGCAGATCTAGAAGGGTGGATCTGAAGTCTAGAAGGGTGTACACCGTTCCTATGAAGAACTAAATGTTAAGTTGGTACTACTTGCATATGCATAGAGTTGTATTGCATAACGAGTCATATGTATATTTGTTGAGATATAAATGTTGAGTGTGTGAATGTAATTGATATATTGTGATTAAGATTGTGTTGAATATGACTATGTGTGATAATGATGTTGTTGTATATGATATCGATGATGATTTAGGTGTGAGAATGTGATATGTTATTGTGCATGTTTGTGTAAATGTTGTACTCTATCTTATATTATATACCATTATTATTGAAATGAATTATCACCCCTTTTGGTTGAATGTCGCCTTTACATGGGCATCATGCAGATACTCAAGAGTAGGGAGATTGTTGTGAGTGAAAGCTAGTTCTTTCAGTTTCATTGTTTTAGTTTTGGGTTATGCTCTGATATGTAACACTGGGGAGCGATTTCTTGTTCATGTTGAGATTTTCTGAGCAACAATGTATGCTTTAATATGTTTATGTTTTGGTGTGTTTAGCATTTGGAGAAGTCTTACGAGTCGATGCTTTTATTTTAATATGAAGTTTTATTATGAGACTTAAAATATTGTGTATCTTAATTATGATTCCGCTGCTATGCTATCAGATGAGTTGGATGTCGTGTAAATATCCCAAGTACAAATCACGTAAGTTGGATGTCGTGTAAACATCCTAAGTGAAATTGTATGCCTTAAAATATTGTGTGAAATGTTTATTTAGATTATGTGTTACATGATCAGCATGTGCATGTATTTTGAGATGTGTAATATCCTATGTGCAAAAGTTTTGAAAATAATTGAGTAAAATCTCTGATTTATTGTATAATTATGCATTTAGAGAAATCGGGTGTTACCTTATACCTTAGGTCATTTGGAATGGATTTACATTAATTTGAGCCTTAGCTCTTTGGGCCTATGACCGGCCCAGAACACTTGTCCCCTAGGCTAACCGGGGGTTACTGTGTTTGGGAAGTCTGTAATGGTCGTTGCCGTCCTCTGAGAATGCAGTTCGTTTTAAGCTAGAAGTGAAAACGCTTAAAGTCAGTTGTAAAAGCAGTGTGGAACAAGCACATTAAATATTTTTTCATTATTTAAATATTTTGCCGCTTCTTTCTGGCACTTGAATTGAAGTGACTAGTTAGGGTATTACACTGCTTATAGTGCACTCAAGTGCACAAGAGTTTGTTTACCTTTCACATTAAGGTATTTGATGTGTAGGGACAAAGAAAAATGACAACCAAAATAAATGACTTTCAGTAATAGTAACCAATAAGACATTGAATTAACTTGGCAGAAGAATATAAAAGAAGGTGAGGAACACAAAATGTTTGTTTACCTAGTTTAATCAAATGATTTACGTCTAGGGTGGAGATGAGATCTCCAATTTAATATACTTTAAAATTTGTTACAAGAGATTACAAAAGAGTTACAAGAAAATAGTCTTCAAAATTTCCAAAAACATACTCTATTTTCTACCCAAGTGTTTTCTAATATCTCCGACTTTCAATATTGTAATCACACAAATCCAAGGTACTAATAAGTATTGTATGATCCTTCTAGATAACTCTAAAAGAGTTCCATAAACCCTAAACCCCTTATTTCTCCCTTTTACTTTAAAATTCTAAAAAATTGTCACACTTACAATAATAGAAGATATATATATTTATAATTTCTAAAAGCCTACAAATCCATAACAAAATCTCAAAACATAAGCCATTAATTATAAGAATAAAATATATTATTAATATCTTACAATATCTCGTAAAATATTATAATTATCTTATTATATTTCTTATAATATTATAAATATTTATCTTATAATATCTCTTAGAATATAATAAATATAAATCTTATAATATTTTTTAGAATATTATAAATATCTTATAATATAATTTTATATTAATTTTTAGTCTCTCTTAAATAATATAAAATATTTTAACATTAATGAACATATCTATGAACCAAATCAATAAAACTCGATAGTCGTGAATCGCATGGATCAGACTACTTTTATGTTTTATGATTTTTGGCAATCTCGAAATATATATTTTTTCCTCTTCATCACTCTAAATTTTTAGGAATACTTCAACAATCTCTACCTTGACTTAAAACCGTGGAGATGCCAATTTAATAATCAACCACCTTGCATGTTTCTACCATGTTGAAACCTTATTCAAAAAATATGATATAGTTCAAGACACCATTGAATTTTGGATATAGCCACTTGCATCCACTTGCTTTCAATCACCTTTTTCTACCAAGGTAATCTAACAAGCCCACAAGAATGGTTTTTCAACCATCGTAGACTTCACATGCCTTCGAATGCATCCCTGAAGGTCCTAGTTTATGTATTTTGCAATCCTTCAACCATATTTACAATATAATGCCCAAGGCTAGCGTAATCGTCTCTTTGAGATACTATAATCTTACTCTTTACCTTATCATGAGTCAAATGATAATCAGAGGCATCTGTAATCGTTCCCTCACTACTACTATATACATAGTAGTAAACTCCACATTAAACTGGGTTTTTCTGCCATAGTTTCTAAAAACTTCATCTCGGTTTTTTATTTTCTTCCCATGATGAAATTATCTATTAACCAAGTAAACTGCTTTGACACCATCCTTACCCCAAAAACTCAATGAAAACTCAACAGTCCCATGCATTTTAATCCCATGTCCTCTGATCTTACCGATTGATCAGAACCTGAGAAGTGGCCGAAAGATGGTATGTAGTATGGCTGTAAAGTCGAGGAGGAAAAGGGGGTTGTATCTACAAGGCACTCCGACGATCAAGTAAGGGTGGGAACAAGGAGATACAAGCAAAGTATTAGGTGGTGAATAGT